CAGGGGGTGCTCGGTGCCTCTCCTCAGGCGCACACGGCGTTCGCCCCCGTCCAGGCTTCCTCCAACAACACTGGTGGACCGACATGGGACTCGGCCGACCTCATTGCTGCCCTGCAACACTTGACTGTCCAGGGCAGCCCCTCATGGGTTGTTGACTCCGGCGCTTCATCCCACATGACGTCCTCCGATGGTATGCTCCTCCAGCGCCTACCCCCCTCCACCTCCTCTATAACAGTAGGCAATGGCACTAGCATTCCGGTCACGTCTAGAGGTCACTCCATCCTTCCCACCGCCACAGCAAACTTCTCCCTCAATAACATTCTCGTCGCCCCTTCCCTCGTCCGTAATCTTTTATCCGTTCGTCAATTCACCCGTGAAAATCGCTGCTCTCTTGAATTTGACGCTCTTGGTTTTTCTGTTAAGGATACCCAGACGGGACGCGTGATTCATCGCTGCAATAGTACCGGTGATCTCTACACCATACCTGCTATCCCTCCGACCGCTGGCACCTCTTCACATGCTCTCCTGGCTGTTTCGTCGACCCTGTGGCACCAGCGTCTTGGCCATCCAGCCCCTGCTGCATTACAACAGTTAAATAAAATACATGCTGTTTCTTGTAATAAAGTAGACCGCTCCCTCTGTCATTCATGTCAACTAGGCAAGCATACGCGTCTACCCTTCAGTGCCTCTCAGTCTTGTTCTCATGCCCCGTTTGACCTAATTCATTGTGATGTTTGGACCTCTCCAATACCTAGCATATCTGGTTTTTCATACTATTTAGTCTGCCTGGATGATTACAGTCACTATTGTTGGGTTTTTCCTCTTCGACGCAAATCCGAGGTCCACCAACACTTAGTTGAGCTCACAACTCTTGCACAAACCCAATTTAACCTCCACAGTAAAATGCTTCCAAACCGACAATGGCACCGAATTCGTCAATACAACCACCACCACCTTCTTCTTTTGCTTTCGGGAACACTTCTCCGTCTCTCCCATCCATACACTTCCCTCAAAATGGCAAGGCGGGCACGCACCATTCGCACCCTCAACAACTCAATTCGCACCATGCTGCTCCACGCTTCCATGCCGCCTGCATACTGGGCTGAGGCCCTTGCTGCCGCCTGCTACTTACTCAATAGGCGCCCTTCCTCCTCCATATCCCATGAGGTTCCCTTCACTCGCCTCCATGGACAGCCACCCACCTACAGCCACCTTCGTGTTTTTGGGTGCCTATGCTACCCAAACCTACAGGCTACCTCCCCACATAAGCTCGCACTCGCTCATGCATGCATGCATTTTCCTTGGGTATCCATCCTCTCATAAGGGTTATCGATGTCTTAACCTGGAAACTCAACGCATCATTATTTCTCGCCATGTTGTGTTCGATGAGACTGTTTTTCCTTTTTCCACCGCCAGCGTCCTCCCATTCCCTCGCTCCCTGGATTTCCTTCTAGACAACGATTCGGTTTCGGTGCCTTGCTCTACTGTTCCTGCAGGTGGAGGTCCCTCCTCAACGACCACGGTTGCTCCGTCCACCACAGGCGTGTCAGTCCGCCGATGATGATGAGCCGGACCCGGCTCTTCTCCTGCCTGGGGGGCGCGGCCCTGTGCCCCCTAGCCCCAGTTCGGCTTCTCCACCACCGGGCGGGTGTGGTCACGTGCCCCCGCCTGGCCTTCCTGTGGCTCCGTTCCCACGGACCTACAGTCGACGACCCCAGCCGGTGCCAGCGCCATCGGCTGTCCCTACAAAGACCGGCGCCTCGTCGCAACCCATCTCCGCCACTCACGCGCGCACCGGGACCGGGCGCCATCCCGCGTGTGAGCTACGAGGGCTCGGCGCCACCTCCTCGCCCTCACCATCGCCTTTACGGCGGCGAACTACCGCGGCATACAGCCGATGCCAATCGGCGGGCTGCTGCGATGATGGCTGAGTACCAGGCACTCGTCGACAACGACACCTGGCGTCTTGTTCCGCGCCCTCCTGGCGCGAACGTTGTGACGGGCAAGTGGATTTTCCGGCACAAATTCCATGCCGATGGGTCCCTCGCTCGTCACAAGGCCCGCTGGGTGGTCCGCGGGTTTTCCCAACGAGAAGGTATTGACTACGACGAGACATTCAGTCCGGTGGTCAAACAGGCTACCATTCGGACTGTTCTCAGCATTGCCGTCTCCCGCGCCTGGCCGATCCATCAGCTGGATGTGAAGAATGCCTTTCTTCACGGCCACCTCGACGAGACGGTCTACTGTCAGCAGCCACCAGGTTTCGTCGACCCCGCCGCTGCAGATCACGTCGCCTCCCCGCGAAGTCCTCAGTCGGGTCAAGCAGGCCCCGCGTGCTTGGTACCAGCGGTTCGCGGCCTTCCTTCAACAGCTCGGCTTCGTCACCTCCGCCTCCGACACGTCCCTCTTTGTTCTCACTGAGGGGACGAGTCTTGCCTACTTGCTGCTCTACGTCGACGACATCATCCTCACCGCCTCAACTCCCGCTCTTCTGCAGCGACTCATGGCCCGACTCGATGCGAGTTCGCCATGACCGACTTGGGTGCTCTTCACCACTTCCTCGGCGTCGCCGTCACCCGCACCCCCGACGGCTGTTCTCATCCACAATGACAAGATGCGCCGTCGATCTCCTCCAATGGCGGGCATGGTGAGTGTCATCCTCGTCAACCCCTGACCGACACTCGGGCCAAACTCTCCGCCCATGATGGCGATAAAGCTGTCGAACAAGGGCGGCTTTCGAGTTCGAGGAGCTTAGCGAGGGCTCTTGATGACTGACTCGACGCGCCCTGATCCGCTTATGCGATTCAACAGGTGTGTCTCTTCATGCACGCCCCAAAGGAGCCCCACTGCGGCCGATCAAAGCGCGTTCTCGCGCTATGTGAAGGGCACGCTATCCTCCGGTCTTCACATTGGCGCCGGCTCGTTCAGACAACGACCGCATACTACGTCTTGGCCGACTGGCTGGTTGCCACGACTCGGCGGTCCACTTCGGTTTTCTGCGTCTATCTCGGCGACAACCTTGGTCTCCTGGTCCTCCAACGCGCCGGACCACGGTCTCCGCTCTAGTCTTGAGGCGAAATACCGTCTTTGTGGCTCACGTTGTGGCCAGTCTTTGTTAGGCTGCGGCAACTCCTTCAGAGCTCCATCTTCCGCGCCCGAAGCCACGGTGGTTTTCTGACAACGTTAGCGCCATCTACATGATGGCCAATTCAGTCCACCACAAGCGCCTGAAGCATATTGAAATTGACATTCACTTTGTGCGCGAGAAGGTGGCTCTTGGTGAGATCGGGTCCTTCATGTTCCTTCATCTCATCGGTTCTTGACATTATGACAAAAGGGCTCCCCACGCCCACTGTTTCAAGAGTTGAGAACCAGCACAATATGTCCATGAAGCCCCCGCTTGGTGCAAGGCGGGTATTAGGCAATAGGAGATTGTATATTGCATATATTAGGCAATAGGAGATTGTATATTGCATATTTAAGCGATCGATCAATTAGGATCGATTTACTCCTGTCCTTGTATTTGTAAACTGCCATATATAGCAGCAGCAGCTGCCCTATAATAGAGGCGCCCCTCTCCCATTGAGAGTGTGGCTTATTGCCCCAACATCATCTTCTACAGTAAGTTAACTCCTAAGACAACAAGTCAAGTGTGCTGCCAAACACATTGACACTAAAGTATATGTTGTAAAGGAGAAAATCAAGAATCATTTTTAAAGCATTGAGCACATAAGTACCAAGTAAGTACTTGTTGATCCGCTTACCAAAAGCTAACCACCCAGTGCGTTCAGAGAACACACAGTCGACATGGGTTTATGGGAAAGCCTATGATTTCTGGATACTAAGGGCCTAGTTGAGTATCTGTTTCAAAACAGAGAGGTGCATTGTAGCTGTTAAATCTAATAGCAACTGACCGTGACGATGAGGCACGCTCTATGCACTGATCTGTAATGGAATGGGAACAAGTAAGTTAAGTTTAAGTTATAAGGTGAGATCAAGGGGGAGATTGTTAGTGTTGATCTCATCCGACTCGGCCCAACGGTCGAGTCAGGCCATGATCCAGTGCCCTGATCGGGGGCATCCAACCAAACTAAGGTTGGTGGGCCCCCGTCGCGCAGCACCATATAGAGGGAGGTGGGGGCCAGGGCGCAGAGATGAGGTTCACCTGAGCCGCTAGACGCCCCCACCTACTTCCTAAACCTAGTCCGATCGAGAGGGGTGCTGCCGGCGACGGGAAGTGCCACCACCGCCTCTACACCGCCACCGGACGACGCCACCGACTGGACCTCGACATGGACGGCTCATCCTTCCCCAAAGCCGACGGTCAGCCACTCCTACATCTCCCTCTCTCATTGTCTCCCTCTCTGTATCAAGTTATAGGTTGAATTGAACTAAACAAGTACCGGATTCACCCTCTAATCTGCACCTAGATGATCCTAAACTTTTATTGGCAGAGAGTATTGACTTTATGAATATTGCTCGATCTGCCTTGTTCATTTTTTTGCATCTGCAGATTTATTCATGCCGTAGCTTTTACTTGTTATTTGTGCTTTTACTTGTTATTTGTGCAATTCTGCTTGATAGGGGCAATAGACTTATTTCTGCAGTGTTTTGCAATGAGAATATCTAGGGATATGAATTGAACTGTGCACATGAGATTTTGGATTAATTCTAGAAAAAATAGTGTTCTGATTGTAAATGTTAATACCTTGGCTAGCCTACATTTCATGGACTGTTTGAGTACTTGGTAATTATTGTTGATCTCAGTTCCTATTGGTCTATCGATTCATACTAATCTTGCCAATCCAGGTGCTTTGTTTGGCCCATGGGCATGGCTCGTCATGACAATTGGAATTTCCGCACTTATTCTAGGCTTGTGGCCTATGCATGTGATTTGGACATATTACTGCATCATCAGGTAGCGTTTGCAGTCTTGAAAGGAAAGTCATGCAATGTGGTGTATTTGGAGCTTATCACCTTTTTATGAAAGCAGAACCAAGATGGTAGGACCGGTCGTAAAGTTGCTGCTTCTTATTGCTGCAACTGCGGTTTTGGTTCTATGGCTAATAATTGGCGTCTCGGCAAGCATCCTTGCTGGTTTGGCTTATGGCTTTCTGGCACCAGTAATGGCTACATTTGATGCAGTTGGGGAAGGAAAAGAAAAGACACTTGTTCACTGTTTTTTGGTACAATTTACTTGTAATGGTTTCATTCAGATATCTGTTTTGTGTGTACAATATCTGTTTCACATGGTTAGCTAACTGGAAATGCAGGATGGAACATGCAGCACTATCACAGGAAGCTGTACAGTAGTCAGGGACGTGAAAGACATGTTGGTACACTCATATTTTTCAATCATGGATGAAGTTCGTCTTCATGCACCTCCCGATGGCAAGCCATATGAGATAAGGTCTTAGGTCTACTTTCTTTCTGTTATTGTTTTCAGCCTTTTTCATTCTTCATTATAACTATATGTGTTAACAAGTGAGTTGCAATTGTACTAAATGAGTCATTACCTTCATCTGGTACTCTAATTAGAATATTCTGTCTGTTTGTTATCTTGGTTAGCTTTTCTTGCACATCATAAACAGTTCAGGTTAACAACAAGATACACTATAATGTGCTCACAAGAAAGACAAGAAATACACAATTAATTCTTACTTGAGAACTCGCTTTAAAAAGAAATGATATGAGGGAGTGTCCCATGTACATTGAAGTTCAGTATCCTTTTAAATCTTGATCTGATTGCTAATATTTAAATACCCTTGTAGTGATTTTGTTTTAATTGAGGAATTCTGCATGTCACAAAATAATTAACTTTGCATCCCCAGATTGCTACAAATTCCCGGTGCAATATTTGCTGCTGCTTGTGGGCTTGTAGTGGATGCAATAATGTTCACACTAATTGCATTGTACAAGTTCCCTGTTATGCTATTCAAAGGATGGAAGCGGTTGATTGAAGATCTTGTTGGCAGAGAAGGACCTTTTCTTGAGACAGCTTCCGTGCCGTTTGCTGGTCTTGCAATTCTTCTCTGGCCATTTTCAGTTATAGGAGCTTTTCTAGCCTCTGTTATCTGCAGTGTTCCTTTTGGTGCATATGCTGCCGTGGTGGTTTATCAGGTATTGACAAATCTTTTTGGACTGGCAACAGAAAAATATCATTTATAGCATAAAGCTAGTATTATGATGAAATATTACCTGATTTAGCATGATAGATGTGGAGGCGTGAAGCTTACAATTGCAATCTTGTTTATGTGGCAGGAATCCTCACTTTTCTTGGGACTGTCTTATGTAATATCATCAGTATCCATCTTTGATGAATATACAAAAGACGTACTTGACATGGCACCAGGATCTTGCTTTCCTAGGTACAAATGGTTTATTCTATACCAAAAGGTTGTCCTTGAATTGTACACCGAATAATACAAGTTACTCAAAATTTCACTTTCCATGACTAGGTTTAAATATAGGAAAGATGAAGCTTCCTCACATGGTGGTTCTCTCTCGAGGCCCGCTTCATCCAAGGACAAGCATGATGGAAAGAAAGCTCCTCAGCGTGTAACATCATTTAAAAGTAGCTTTGATGAGTTCAATCCATTCAAGGTGATCGTTTTCTGGAAAACTGGCAAAAGAAATTTCACTGTGTTCCCAGTACATAAAAATTATCTATACTGACACTGGCCCATGCTCCATTTAGATTACTTTCATTGTATTCTACTCCCTCCATTCCAAATTATAATATGTTTTGACTTTTCTAGATGTACTTAGATATACACCATGTCTAGATACATAACAAAAGCAATGTATTTGTTATGATCGATCATTGGGGGTTGGGGGATAGAGATAACCATTGCCAGAAGGAAGGCCGTGCAAAGTCGGTGTGGAGGGAGACTACAGCATTTGGGGGAATTGGGAATTGGATTGTTTATTCTTCATTGCTTGATTCAAATGAGGACTGGTACATGGACTATATAGGCACTTGGCCTGCTAAATAAAGGGAAATAAACTCCATAACTCCCCATAAATCCCCTAAATCTTGCCTTCCCTGCATGCTGATCCGCATGCTGCTCCTTGCTGCTCCTTTGCTGACCAAATTTGGCTGCGGTAATTGCGCCCCCTCTAGTCACCATGCAACCCCCGGCTGCCCCAAATGACAGTATCTAGAAAAAGGCAAAATGTCTTATAATTTTGAGCTGAGGGAGTATTATGGTGGAGCTATACTTTTTGTAGAGTTTAGTTATTATACTATGAGATTTTATAATTTCATTTAAAATTCAAAAGCATGCTATGATTTTTTGGTGTTTGGAAATTTGTGCAGTATAACTGATTTAGATGTGTTGTTTAGTTGCTAGATCACCTTTTCATAGAGTATAAGCACCGTGGCAAGGATCTGGTCGCTGAAGGAGTGATAACCCCAAAAGATATAGAAGGAACAGAGGCAGGCAAAGCCAGCACTGGAGTACTTAATGTTGGGTTACCAGCATATGTTATCCTTAAGGCACTCCTCCGATCTGCTAAAGCCAATTCTGATGGTCTGATTTTAAGTGAGTAAGAGTACCTTTCTTCACCGCTAAAAGAGGTTTACGGTACCTTTTATTGACCTGCGAGACTTTCTGGTGAAATATGCAGGTGATGGATCTGAGATAACATCTGACAATAGGCCTAAGAGTATTATCTTTGAGTGGTTTTTGACCCTCTGATGGTCATCAAAGATCAAATCAAAGCTGAGAACTTCACAGAAGAAGAGGAAGCATACCTTGAGAAGCAAGTGCTCTTGATAAGTGATCCAAAGCGCATCAAGGAGAATCTCATTCGGCTTCCAGCATTGAATGAGCGAAAACAAGCAGAAATAGAAGCATTTGCTCGAAGGTACTTCCTTTCATCACTCCTTTTCAATCACTAAAGAAAAAATAGTCCTTTCTGACCCCGCTGATCCTACTGCAAGGTTGCAAGGGATCATAAAGTCGATATCAAGGTACCCTACAGCCAAGCGCCGTTTCGACGCCCTTGTGAAAGCTCTTTCAGAAGAGCTTGCGAGGACAATGGGTGGTAATCAATCTGCCAATGGGTCTCAAGTCCGGAAGATGAAAAGTGGCATCGTCCGAATGCTTAGCCAGAGATCATTAGGGAAAACAACAGGCATCCGTGGAGATGATCATGAGGCCCAGCTGACAAGTGATGGTTTAACTTCATGATGTTTTGGAGGTGTTCAACTGTAACCTTAGTTTTGATGTTTTGGAGATGTTCAACTGTAAGAAAAGGATGTGCTGCCTTTTCTGTGTTATTTTTGCTAACTGGATACAAAGAACTGACACTTCTGTGTGAAGAGGGTGAGTTGTTTGTTTCGAGGACTGTATCTGGACAACACTGTAGTAATACTTTGTAATAGAAAGCAAAAGATTTGATTCGCAAAAAGCAAAAGATTTGATTCGCACTAGTATCACCAGTTACATGTCCACGTTCGTTCCTGCTGAATTGGATGCCCAACGAACATTTTTACAGTTCTTTGCCCGCACAAGACTGTCTTTGCGTGGTTGCGTTCAGCTATTTGCAGAAAACTCCATAAACAGTTACAAATGATCTAACACTACTGAAAACCAGTTACAAATGAATGAATGATCTAACACTGCTGAAAACGATAGTTCAAGACAAATGCAGAAGCGAGAGTATTGAATTCTCCATAAACAGCACTACCATGAGGTTTTAGTGTGGCAAACTTTGTTTACAGAAAATTCCATTTGAAGTCATGTGCGGGCAAAGAAACTTCACAAAAATGTGAACTGGTTCAGAAAAACAACTGAGTTACACAACTTCTTCAAGTTAATTTCATTCATCATTACTCGTATTAGTGTTACATTTTGAATTGAAGAATCATAGTTTTTAACATCATAACCTTGGATGGAACAATGGCATTCTTGATTCTTAACAGACTCAGGAGGCAATGGTAGCTAATAAAGTGACTACAGCAAGGCACATGTCTACTACAGGTGATGAGGAAATGTGCGAATCTGAACATGCATTCTGAAACATCAATCACAGTGCCTTCTTCTTGGCGTCCCTGGCCAGCCCCTTCTTGCGGATCTTAATGCACATGCCCAGGCGTACGCTGTCGATAAGGGACTCGGGAAGAATGGAGATCAAGAACCACAGGACAGAGTGTGGCCAGTACGGTGTGCACCTAGGCTCGTATCCAATGTGACGAACAGCAGCACGAGCATAGGTGTCAGCAGATGGGACCATGAAGGAAGACTTCCTGATGGATGCCATCTTTGTCGCCACGTATAGGGGCACCTGAATAAATTGAAGAAGTTATGAGTGCAAAAGTTCATAGGGAATAGTTTTTCAAAAAAAAAAAGTTCATAGGAAATACAGCATATAACAGACAAGACCGATACAATTACATGCAAAAGCACTAAATCTCCAATTGATCAAGAAGCATTATCAAAAGGTAGACACAAATCAGTTCAACAGATAAACACGCTTAACCAAGTTTAGTAGAACACGTGAAATGATGATTCAAGATGGTTAATTTTAGATGTTTGGAAATTTCAGAACCACTTCAATTTGTGAGGACTAACATGAGGCTGAAACAACAACTAGAGTGGTTCACCAAAATTTCTTTTAGTTCTTTAAGAAAGAGAAAAGAGATCTAGAAACTATAGTTGAAATGGAAAATTGGAATTTGGTGAGAGACACTAAATCATTTCAATAGCACAAAACTAAGTTAAAATAACTGTAGAAATGGTTGATAATTCGAGGCAAGATACATTCGATGCAAAGAGAGGTTTGTTACCTGGCATTGGACATCAATACCTTTGCTCTTGTACTCAACATAGAGGCATCTTGAGAATTGGTCAACATACCTGGGAAATACAGATAACATTATTTTTAGCGTGCGCTTAGTAAGTTAAAGGGAATGTGTGCATCTGCCTAATTACAGTTATTTTTTAAAATAATTACACCGTACAGACTCAAAGGCTCACAACACACACACACTCACCCCTATGAAAGATTCATCATGTTCGCATTTTTTCAGCTAAGTATGTAGTGCATAACACAAAGGTTTCCCGCCTGTGACCGGAAGGTCCCGGGTTCGAGTCGCGGTCTCCTCGCATTGCACAGGTGAGGGTAAGGTTTGCCACTAACACTCTTCCCCAGACCCCGCACAGAGCGGGAGCTCTCTGCACTGGGTACGCCCTTTATGTAGTGCATAACACAAAGGTACACAAACAAAATATAGGTCAATTGCTCATTTACAGCTGTTGTGAGCTTGTATGTTACATGGCAATAATTCATTGTTTATAGGTTTTCAACTCTTCATCCAATATGTACTAGATCACAGGAGAATACAGCCCAACTATTCCATGAGCTCTAATAGTTGCAACCAGAATGAACATTTTAGACCACACAAAAGTTTTCTAGTTCTTATGCATACAAAAATTAGTACGCCTAACCATCAAAGTTCTTTGCTTATGTGTAGCTTACTGATTGCAGTTAGCTATCTTTTCATTTCCCCTAAGGAAAAGGATCATAAGTCAGATCTGGACATTTCAAGTAATCCTAGACTGATGCAATTTCAGTACCCCAACTAATTCTAGCATCTGAATGTACATCTAACTAACTCCCCCTATGATTGCATCAGAATCTGGCATGACCAACACGCAAGCTAAGAATTCACACCGAAGGCGTTTCCTCTAATCCCCGATCCCAGTGTTGCTTTAATAGTTCCCAAACCAAGTAGGCAAGTACAGACAGGCAAGAAAGACGTGCTCCTTTGTTCTCAATCAGTCAATCTTAATTCCACTACCACCATCTATCCTAAAATCGAGCGAATTTAAGCTACAGCCTGTACAACTGCGGCAGTCAATAGCCAAGGATACAGCAGTAATTCGAGAGCAGGAAACCGGAGAACTCACGCTTTGGTAGCGGCGTAGACGGAGTAGAGCGGATCGGAAGGCACGACGGAGGCGGCGCCGGAGCCGATGTTGACAATGGCGCCGCGCTTCCTCTCGACCATGCCTGGCAGCACGGCGTGCGTGACCCGCGTGACGCCCTCGACGTTGACCCGGATCAGGCTGCGCATCAGCTCCTCGTCCACCTCGTGGAAGTAGCGCGCGTACGGGTAGGACAGCCCGGCGTTGTTGACGAGCACGCCGACGTCGAGGCCCCGGATGGAGTCCTTGAGCGCCTCTACGCCGGCGGCCAGGCCCTCGCTGGCGAAGTCGAGCACGAAGGTCCGCACCTCGGGGACCTTGGGGTGCTTGGCCTTGATCTCGGCGGCGACGGCGGCCAGCTTCTCCGGGTTGCGGCCGACGAGGACGAGCCCGAGCCCAGCGGCGGCGAGGCGGAACGCGATGGCGCGGCCGAT